CATTAATAATTTTTTTAATGAGTTAAAATAGTTATGAGAAAAAATGGTGTAATTATTTCTATTATTTAAAAAACATGAAATAATTAAATCGAAAAATGTGGTTCTTCAATGTTCACTTCTAATAGTGAAATAGAATTCACCCGGGCTCTTTCAACTCGAACGGCCTTCGTACCTGCAAGAACCCAACGTCAAGAGGGATCCCGACGCCGGGCCTCCGATGCCTAAGTCAGCACTCGTAAATGAGACTGTAGTAATGAATGAATAGAAATGAGTTAATGAGATACCTTAACCCCCTTTTATAGGGGGAGTGTACCTTTTGAGCCACAGTTGAGTTTGGCCCATACCATTATGCTATATGTCTTAGCCCATTTGTGGACTTATTCTCCAATATATTCCTTCTTATCCTTTAAAGTCGGTCTAGTATAATATCCTATATCATCTAGTCCCCCCTACTCTGGTCGAGTAAGCATAACTCGATCCAAGAGTAAAATGTCTCTTCGGGCCGTTTCATTTAACCTGACACTGAGGTTATAATTTGAATAAATCCTCGACCACCAAATAGTCACCAAACCTCCAAATGACCATCCAGACCCAAATGAACACCGAATGACCTTTAAGGTCGAAAACTGAAAGACCTGCCTTTGAGGTCGAAAACCGAGTGACCGCCGATGAGGTCGAAAATCGAGTGACTGTCAATGAGGTTGAAAGTCAAAACCTGAATGACCATAGAGGTCGAAAACTGAGTAACCGCTGATGAGGTCGAAAACCAAAAACCAAAAACTGGACCACTGAAGTCGAAAATCGAGTAACCGCCGATGAGGTCAAAAACTGAAAACCAAAAACCAAAGGACCACTGAAGTTGAAAATTGAAAATCGAGACACCACTGAGGTCGAAAACTAAAAACTGAGAGACCACTGAGGTCGAAAATCGAAAACCGAGTGACCACCGATGAAGTCAAAAACCGAAAACCAAAAACTGAATGACCACTCCCTGATGACTTGAATTTAAAAATTTGAACTTACGTCAGCTGTTTTTCGGTCACCATGTTCGAGCTCTCTTCGACCACCTCGTCTTATCGCCCCTCAGGTCAAAATCTAAAACAACCATGCTATCTATCCTCTCGAAAACCAAATTTCCTGACGCCACCATCATTTCCAAAAACCGAATTCGACAAAATCAAAATCAAAATCAAATAAAAGTCATCGACCTGACTCTGTGAACTACCCCAAGTGAACTCCTTCGACCTGCCACTAAGGTCGAAAAATAAATTCGACAAAACCAAAATCAAATAAGGATCCTCGACCTGCCACTGAGGTCGAAAAATAAATTTGACAAAACCAAAGCAAGTAAAGATCATCGATCTGCCACGGAGATCTGCTCGAGCTACCCATAATGAACTCCATTGACCTGGCACTGAGGTAAAAAAAAATACAACAGAACCAAACCAAAAAAAAAAAAACCATCGACCTATCACTGCTCAAGCTATCCGTAATGAATTTCATCGACCTGCCATTGAGGTAAAAAACAAAAATACAACAAAACCAAACTAAATGAAACCATCGACCTGTCCTTGCTCGAGCTTTTCGTAATAAATTTCATCGACCTGCCACTGGGGTAAAAAACACAGATAGAACAAAACCAAACCAAATAAAACAAATTTTGGGGACATGTCACTGCTCGAGCTGTCCATAGTGAACTTCAGCGACCTGCCACAGAGGTCAGAAACACATATGACAAAATAGAAACTAAGTAAAAATCATCGACCTGCCTCCGAGGTCTCCAATAGGATTCGTGTCTTCACCGACCCAACACTAGGATCGACCACTTGCCTACCCCTATCGCGAGATGTACAAAAAAACAAGTAGATTTGGTCTTTGACGTTTTCCCATCCCAAGGAATGTTCGAAACAAGCAGTCGTCCAGCCCGGAGACGTGGACTTTTTCGGCCACTTGCCAACAAGAGACCACTCGCCTATCCCTATCGCGGGATGTACCACAAACGAGTGGGTCTTGGACACTTGCCCACCCTGATGAATGTTCAAAACAAGCAGTCGTCCAGCCTAGAGGCGTGGACTTTTTCAACCACTTGTCCACCTCAAGGAATGTTCTAAACAAGCTACCATCGCCCACCCCTATCGCGGGATGTACCAAAAACGAGTGGACTTTGGTCTTGGACACTTTCCTACCCCAAGGAATGTTCGAAACAAGCAGTCGTCCAGCCTGGAGGTGTGGACTTTTTCGACCAAATGCCCACCACAAGGAATGTTCTAAACAAGTGACCACTCGCCCACCCCTATCGCGGTATGTATAAAAAACGAATGGACTTTGGTCCTGGACACTTGCCCACCTCGAGGAAAATTCAAAACAAGCAGTCGTCCAGCCTGAAAGAGTGGACTTTTTCGACCACTTGCCTACCCCGAAGAATGTTCTAAACAAGCGACCACTCGCCTACCCCTATCATGGGATGTACCGAAAACGAGTGGACTTCTTTCTTCACTCGAGTGACCTGCCACTGAGGTCAAAGGAAAAACAAACCAAACACAACAAGATAGGATAGTAATCGATCATTTTAGGTAGTGTCACTGAATGCATAATTACGTCGAACGAGATACTAATAAAAATATCAAATATATTTTTCGACCTCTCTTTCATGTTTGTACATGACGGCCTGCATTGACGTTTACTCCCCGTTATCCACTCTCCACAGCAACCAAGCAGTGTATGTAAATGTCCAATCCACATGCTCATGTATTTCTCTAAGCAAGAATTCAAAAAATGCCATTAGTCATATTTGATCTGTTGGTGTTATATACTTAAGCTGTGCTTTAGTGGATATTACACTTGTTATTCC